GTCCGCCTCTTGCCTTTAAAAGCCATAACTGGTTTGGGGACCGACCCAGGACCTCGGCTGCTGCCCACGTGGGGAGAGGGCCAAGGGAAGGGGGTTTTTGGCACATTCTCGGCCAGGACAGGCTCCCAGTCCCAGGGCTGAAGCTGCCCAGCTCTCCTGCCTGCCCCTGCCCCGTCCCACCTCGGTGTCCCCGGGCACTGCAGCTCATACTGTGAACACGACCCCCTTTTTTGCAGGGGCAGGTGGGGTTTTGGTTGTTTTTTTTTTTTTTTTTTTATCTGCAGCTCTTTGGCCTGAGAGTCTCCCCAGCTTTGGGCTCCCTGGGGCCTCTGCCGCAGCTCCGAGGTGTTCAGAGCTGAGCTTCAAAAGTATTTTTCGGTCCTGCTCTTGCATCTGGTGCTCGCCTGACACCACGTAAGGAGGCTTGTGCTTCCCCACGTGGGCTCCTCACTGGATGGAGAGGCAGGACTCGATGTGGGGGGGCTCCTTTTCCACTTATTTCAGTGAAATTCCCTTTTGGGAAGCAGAGAAGCAGCAGGTCCTGTCTTTGTCGTGTCCTGCTGGGAGGCAGGCATGGAGAAAAACCCCCTGGGGCGCTTGTGTGACTGCTCCTGAAGCCCACAGACCCCTCAGGAAGCCATCGGTGCTCCCACCTTTCACTTCTGCCTCGAGTCCCTGCTGTTACTCCTTTCCCTTTTGTCAAAGCATAGAGACCCAGGTAGCCCTCCCCGCCTCAAACGGTGCTGGAGAGATGGAGAAACACAGGTCGGGGGCAGTTGCCTTTTCCCTTCCCTGCCCGAGGCTGCGCATCCCTGCCTGCCTCCAGCCCTGGGCTGCTCTTCCCCAGCATCTCCTCCTCCCTCCCACCGGCCTCAGTGCACAGGCAGGTCCTTCCTGGGGTCCGGGTGACTTCGCTGGGCTGGTTTGGACCAGGGTTGGTGCCGGGCTGTCTCTCCCTTTGGTATGTGTTGCTTTGGTGCTGGTGGGTCTCAGCCCTGTTAAATGGGGGAAGGTGTGAATCCCCCAGGCAGCACGTCTTGGGGTGAGTAGTCAAGGGCTGGGAGCTCAGCTCCCTCTGTCCACAACCGCTCTCTGGGTGAGCTTCAGGAGCTCTGTGGCCCCTGCATCCCTCCCTGCATCCCTCCCTGCATCCCTCCCTGCATCCCTCCCTGCATCCCTCCCTGCATCCCTCCCTCCAAAACGGGCCAGTTTTCAGCCCCGCTCCGTCCCTCCGGTTGCTGCTCCAGCCTAAAACAGACACTTCACCTCATTTGCCTCTTTTTTGATACTTTTTTTTAAAAGCTGTGGGGTTTTTTTCCCTCTTAATAAATTTCTACCTGTATTTAATGAGACGCACAAGGCCTCTTGTCCCTTCTTGGGCACGGGGATGTCGCACTTTTCGGGGATTCGGGTTGTGTTGATGAAGGTTGGCATGGCAGGGAGGGAGGATGAACTGGCAGTGCCTGGGGCCGGTGCCTCGATGTGCAGGGCTGCGCTGTCCCCTGGTGTCCCCTAAAACCCTTCCCTGGGAGGCGGACAGCGTTTGGAGGGTCTCGAGCAGAAGGTGAAGCCAAATATCTGGAGCAAAGAGACCCACGGAACCTTCTGACCCCTCCCTGTATCCCGCCCTTCATTGAATAACCCGGGCCTGGATTTGCCCCTTTTCCCCCAAAGCTGAGATGCCCCGAGGGGTGTTGGATGCCGCCTGCCATCCCAGCTGGTGTCCCCCCCCTCCGGCTGTTGTGGCGAGGTGACGGTCAGAGCAGGGCAGGAACGCACACGGGCTGCGTAGAAAACCACCGCCATGTCTTTATTTGCTGCTTCACAACAGCCCGAGGCGTTTGCAGAAGGCTTGTCCTGGGCTGGTCATGGGTCTGGGGCAGCGGGGACGGGACTGGTTTGGACTGGACCCCCCCCAGCAAGGCTCTGCAATGTGCAGCTGGGGGGTGTGCTCCAAAGGGGTCTGGAAAGATGCCTGTGGGACCGCTGCCTGGTCTGGGGGCTGCTGGGGGAGGGCTTGGCCATAGTGTGCTTCACTGGAGGAGGTGGTGGTGGTGGGAGGGGGTTCAGGATTGGGGACACTGGTATGTACGGGCTCTGCTGGGTGTCTCAGCAAAACCGTGAGTGCCCTTAAATCAGCACAGCCCCCCCCAGCTGCTCCTAGGGCACTGCTTCTCCATCCCAGGGTGGGGGGGAGCATGTGGCCCTGCCGCCCCGGCACAGCCCCGGCTAAAGCGGAGACTGCGGCGGGGGCGTTCGGTGGTCCCAGTGGAGCCAGGCTGGAGATTTCTGTCCCCAGCCCTGCGGGGATGGGACCGGGCTGATCCGGCTGGAAGGCAGATGTGGCAGAGGGGGGAGTAGCTGTAACCAGGGTCAGGCGGGGAAGGCGTATAACCATGGCAGGGATGGAGAGGGGTCGCAGCTTCTT